TGCACTATTAGAAAAAAAGGTCCCTGGGTTCGAATCCCAGCCTAGGATCTTTCTGAATAGAGTAAAAATGTAAATTTTAGCATTAGAAATAATATTGTTTAGCATTCATTTCAGGAAGATTTGTTTTGTAGGGCATCCATTAAAACTGCACTTTTTCCTCTTCTTTTGCTCTAATTTTCATGAAATTAAAGCAAATACAAACACAACTAAAACAAATGGTGACGAGTCATTGTTGTTTTAAAGGGTTAAAGATATATAGACTTTTATTGGCTGATACATCTTGTCCATTATTTAGTTTTGTCTACATCTTAATAGATTTTTGAGACATCAGACATTGTTGCTATTTATCATCAATTACATCTATATAAAATACTATAATTGTCTTTGCCTGTCAATTTGCTTCAAAGTTGCACCATAAATGCGGTAAAAAAAAATAAAAAATACGGTGAAACAGCCAGGATCACCTGTTTGACATTGGAGCCTGTCTTGGCACTGGTCTCGATAAACATGACGTTCAACTCCTTGGCTCTCTGCTCTCCTTCCTCGATCGTGATTTGCCTGCGGGGGGGAAATCCAGCCAGACTCGACATCTGAGGCTGATTCATTCAGTTCTGACGTGTTGCTTTCAACAGCCTTGTTTTTTTTTTGGTTTTTTTTAAGCAGCAATTAAATGTTGGAGTTGAGTACAAAACAGAGTGCTTACCTCTTCTCCTCCAGATCTGTCTTGTTGCCCACGAGCATGATGATTACATCACTTCCTCTCTCCGTCCTGACGTCGTCAATCCATTTGCAGGTCTGCTGGAACGAATTTACATCTGTGGAGATCGATGCGTCAATTTAGAGTGTGCAAAAACACTTAGTTATTTAAAAAAAGAAAGGGCTCAATGTGGACTCACTTGTAATGTCATAGACGACCACCGCCACTGTAGAGTCCCGAATGTAGCTGGGAATGAGGCTCCTGAAACGCTCCTGTCCAGCTGTGTCCCACAGCTGCAGCCTTACCTGAATTTGAACACACACACACACACAGACACACACACACGCACACACGCGCGCACGCACACACACACACGCACACATGCACACTCTCAAGAGCTGTTTGTACATAAACTGTTAAACTTCACACAAGCTAAACACAAGTAAAGGTTTTTTTTTTTTTTTTTTTTTTTTTCTGCGGGATAAGCCCATATCAGCTCATGCAGGCTGGAAGGGGATAATATCCCGCGACAGAAATAGCATTTGCACAAGTTAAAGAAGATGATCCATGACTACAGCTTATTGCAAGGGAAAAAAAAATGTTCCAAAGCTCTTACTAGGAGAAAAAACCTTCAGATAATCATGTTAGAGCATAAAGAGAGCAGCGATTAAGCAAATCAAATCAAAGATTAGTCAAAACACAGCGGAAGCTATAGGACATTCAATGACATTGGCGTACTGAGACCCTAAAAGTGCAATGTTTCTACATGCAGGTTCCAGAATGAACATCAGAATTTCCTACTGTCCGGTCTTCCAGGTACATGGTCTTTGAGAGGAAGTCAATTCCAATGGTCGCCTGTGAGAAAAGAAAGGGCGAAAAACTGAGTGTTTAAACAATTTACTGCTCTAAGCAAAGTCATTTTTATGTATCTACAGAAATAATCAACCGAGCAAACAAACAAACAAACAAACAAACAAACAAAAAAAAAAGAAAACTCATAGTGCTATGATGCAATTTATTACATTTAGTTTGGTTATTATTAAAAAAAATACTTGATTGTATTATGACAAATCTGTTGAGTCACAATGCCGTTAATATGATTCATTAGTTCACAGTTTACATTTTAGTTCAATAACACTTATTAGTGTTATTCCTGCGCAAACAAATTTCCCAATCATTCAATACTGAAGTGCACTTACTGACCAGATCTATCTACTCAATCAATACTTCCTAACAGGTTCATTCACATGTTACACGTGCGTGTTTGAGCTCTGAGCCTCACCTGATACGTGTTGTCAAAACTGTCATACATGAATCTGGTGATGAGAGATGTTTTCCCCACTGAAACCAAAAACACACAGAAGTCGGTTTTGTTAGCTGAAACACTCAGTGAAATGTTTAATCAAACTATTTCTTCAAATGGAGTTGTTCTACGAAAGCTGTGTCAGGAGCAGAATATCTAACATTTGAAATGGTTTCTCAGAAAAAAATAAAAAATTAAAATAAGCGGGTCTGCGATTAACACACTTTGTCGTCCTTTTCTTCCCTTTCTCATCCACCCCTTTCCTTGAACTTTATCCTTCCATTTAATGAGATCTATATCACGTGGGCAAAAAGAATGATTAAGTCCATCCTACTAGACCATGTTATGCATACACTGCACCATGGACACAGAGTATGCATGGCAGGATAATGGCCTGCATGATATTGGATCAAAGTTGACGTTTACAAATGTGAAAATGAAGATGCTGAATACATTGTGCAGCTCTGGGGGAGACTGTGAGTAGATCAGAGTAAATTGCCTTAAATAGTTAGCTGTCAAAGAGAGTACATAACATCAGCAAGGTAAGGTGTTAGTATATGAGCCACACAAATTATCCTACGGCAGACAGCCCTCCTGGTGGTCGGCTACCTCCTACCCCTCTTTATTTCAACAAAAGTACTTTATTTGTTTTGTTGCCCTTCATAGCATGCTGATATTTTTAGTTCATTATTCGCTTCAGGTTTCTTATTCCTTACTCCCCTAAATATGGCCACAGAGTAACAAAACTCCTGAAATTCTGCTTTTGTTTCTTGTTTTATTTTGCCATGTGAATATTTTAAGTAGACCCCCATCTGGTCAGCCTTTTAGGAACTTTCTGGAAGAATCCGATTGGCTGAGATCCTGAAAAAAAAACATGTACCAAGCAATCCAACCTACAAAGCGAAAAAAAAAATGACAAATTCAAATGGTCAATATTCTAACAATGAAGGAAAACATTAAGTAAGGGAGGCAAACTGTTTGACTTCTGCAATTTTCTCCGACACACCTGAATTAAATGGCTCATCAGCATTCTAGCCCTGCAGAGGCCTGGTAATGAGCCATTCAATTGATTCAGGTGTGTTGGAGAAGGGAGGCGCCTACAGGTTACAGCATGGTAGAGCTGATGGACTGAACTTGGGCACCTCTGCTTTAAGAAAATGAATAAAACTAACAAGAAAATCTACTACTACTTCTAAAATATATAAGCAGTGTACAAATAAACAAGGGAATAACTACCCCTTAAACATCATTTAACGGAGATGTAGAATAAACATAGTCACATGCTGCATAGAAAATTTTACTCTGCATAAATCTGACAGCAAAGTGATTGCTAATTTCAAGTCTTAACAAAAGGTGATTTGGGCGTTCAGCCGTACTTACTGCATCCTTGCACCACAGGGCCAAATCACTGTCTCAAGGCTAATGGAAATTAAATTTAAAATGTACCTCTTCTTTGACATTTTAATAAATCATGTTTATAGTTACTTAACACTCTGATCGTCTAATTGTTTCTGAGACAGCAATTTATAAAGCAGCCAGAGGAGGAAACAACATTAGGCCTGCATCAGGAAAATGTGACACTGAAATGTTATTGCTGATAATTATAACAACAATATTAATTGGATGTAAACTACATTTTCCTTACTGCGCTATCTGAAGGGCCATTCACATAGGAAAGCAAAGTTTTGATGCACAACAGATAGAAAATATTGCATCCAAATTGTGCTTACTGATATTGCAATGATGATTGCTATTTGGCATGGTGCTGCTCTAGCAGGATTTGCCACATGAAACTCGATGTTGCCAAACAGATGAAGGACTGTAGTCAAGTCACGTGTACAAGATGTAATCAGGGTTTCTGTAATATTTTACCAATTGGCATAATGGATTTTCATTGGACTGTGTTTTATCATGGAGATCAAATAAAGGAATGCTTCTTATTGAACATGTCTATATAACTGAGTTCTAGGAGTATGATTTCTGGGTGTGAACTAAATTTTTTTTTTTTTTTTTGTCCTGAGTTTACATTCGTTGTGAAGTGACATTATATAGATCAAATAAGTGAACTGAAATGAACTAATCTCAATTAAGATATTTAGGAACATAAATAAATGGACCAAAGTGGGCCTTGTGCTCCCCATGCTCATTTACATCAATCCACAGGAAGATTTTATGTCACATCTGCACACAAGTGTGGATGGAAAGCGTATATGTCCAGCAGGCCTCCTTAACACTCCAGCCTTGAAGCCTTATTGAAGCGATAGACCACACCAGGCCTGTCTTCAGCACCATGGACAGCAAACATTGCAGTACAGGCCACACAAACACACACTCACACAGATGCTTTTAGTCGACACACTCTCCCACAGAAATAAAACAGACACACACGTACACACACACACGTACACACACACACACACACACAAACACACTAAGAAATCACAGACCTACTGTCACATCAGATCTGGTTATCCTTTCTTTATCATTGTTGTTTTTATAGGATATCGACTTTTTTTTTTTTTTTTTTTTTTGCCCCTTTTTGGTGCCTAATATCTGAGCATGTCTTCAGGCACTAAACCTTTATTGATCTTCTTCTTGTGAATTTATCCCATCGCATGAAATCACAGACCTTCTTACCCTAAAAGAAAGGATTATTGATAACGCAGTATAATCTTTCAGCGATGTCAAGCCTTTCTTGTTTTTCTGGGATAATTTATGGGACAGAGCAAGAGACTGCGTGCTTTGGAGATGCTACAGACATCGGCAGTCTAGGGTGTGTCCCGAACTGACACATGGGAGACTGTTTGTTACCCTATCTAAAAATACAGAAAACTGACCAAGGGGAGATATTTGAAATGTTTTCATGCAACAATCATGTGGGATGTCAGGAAAAGGGATTGGAGATTAAAAAAAGGGAAACGATAAGGAAGATATTTCACGGTCACTGCAGCACATCAAAACATCCCCATTCATTTCGCCTGCTATGATACGAGTTAGGAGCTTTTGCGACAATACACATCCGCTCATTCGCAATCACATTTCCTGATGTATAAGTTGAATTTACGCGTATGCGGCTTTTTTTCTTCTTCTTCTTTTTGTCTTCCGTTAATCAAATTATCCTGGTCCCACTGATGCTGCCAGCACTAACATCGGCATCACATACACCCAGGCCAACATCTTCTGGATTCAATTTAACCTCTTTAACATGTCAAAAAATATGATTATATACGTATTCTTCGTCATGCACACACACATGTTCGACGTCCAAACCTCTCACCGATCACTGACTCACCGCTTTGCTCTCCCAAAAACACGAGTTTAAATTTCCTCAGGGGATTCCCCAAATCTCCTCCGGCTGACATGGCGGCAGATTAAAAAGTCTAACTTAGATTTTTTTTTTTTAAATATGTATTTTATGTATATTGTTCTTCTTTATCGGCCTGCGTCTCTCTCTCTCTCTCGGCTATGGGTGCGCAGGAGGATCCTCCTCTCCTCACAGAATGGTGGGAATGCAGCTCAGCGTCGTCCTGTCAGTTTAGGTAGCGTTTGCGCATGCGCGACCTCACCTCTTTCAAATCCCTCACCTTTCCGTTCGTATTCAGAGATGATTTTCCTTCCTCGAGATGGAAACGTAACGAACAGACACGGTGACGGTAAAACGTCATCGATAGAAATTAAAATCCAGTTGACATAGTCGTCTGCCCCAATATAAATGAGCTAATTGGCTCTGAATTCATGTATCAAGTTAAAATCATGGCCTTCCTTTTTTAAAATAAGAATCTCTAAGTAGACAGCAAACACATTTTTGATTAAGACAACCTTTCTGTGCTTAAAAGTATCGTTCTGTATTGGTCTTGTATCTTAAATGCCGTGTTTTTATTTGCTGTGATAAGTGATATAATTAGGGATATAATCTTAGTTAACCCTTCCATGCATGAATTATGATCCTTTATGTCAGGATTTTTTTTTCCAATTTATTATTTTTATTTTCTTAAGGCATAAAAAAGTTGAGTGAACAAATTTTGTAAAAAAAAAAAAAAAATCTACAATTTTTTACGAGGTGATTAGTTGTAGTTTTCTCCAAATACAAAGTTGTTATTTGGAAAATACATCACTAAAATTAATTAATAGGGGTTACATAATATCACCTTTTTTTTTTTACCTGCAAGAGTCCTCTAAAGTAGAAGTAGTGGATATTCCTGAGTAGCTTTTTTGTTTGTCTGCCACATTAGATTTAATAAATATTTTTTTTGCACTTAACAGTGGTTGGCCAGTAGTTGATAGTGTATTGTATGATTTATTGGTGTCCACTTTTGTGGTCCGTGTGCATAAAAATCAACGTGAAATACAAGAAAATGCCTTTAAGATAACTATCCACTGCAGTGACAGCTATGCATGAAAGGGTTTATTGTGTTCAACAAAACTGCAGTTGGAAACCTTGGACATCTGTAGACATTTAGTGTTTAAAAATCTAAAATTCAAACGCATTTTCTCTATTTCCAGAATTGGTGAAGGTTCTTCAAAATACTGAAGTATTTTTGTTTGCAATAACTGATCATCAACAATACTTTCTCTGTGTTTTATTTAGGATCCATCTAAAGCAAGCTCTTCAATGTCATTTTGTCCAAACATACTCCCCATCAAACTTTAGCTCAGTGTTCAAAGTCAAACAATTCTGCCTCTTTCTCTTTCCAGAAAGCAAAACTGCGATCAATATATTTGCATATATCTTCATTATTGAAACAGGAAACGTCCGCGTCACTACCGCTCTCATCTGGAGTTGCATTTTGGACTATAACCTTGGGTACAGGTTTAAAGTCTGGCACCAGTGACGACTGGCAGCGACACGGTGTCGATTCGCCGAAGAATTGATGTTTGAGGTCTTCAAAGCCGTCGCTCCACTGCCGCCTCCCAGACTGAATTTCCTGGAGAACGGCCTTGTGGAAATCCCGCACCTTCTCCCAGGGGAAGAAGCTGACATGGTCAAAAACCTCAAAGCAGAGGAGATGTCTCATCTTCCTCTCCTCAGCAGACAGGTCTTGTTCTAAGATGTGGAAATAACCCAGCATGAAGAGGTCGAGGGTCAAGCTGTCGTGACTCATTGAGACTCCATCGGTTTCTGGCAGGAACTGCTCTGGGGAGTAGGTAAAGTGGGAGTTACATGAACTTTGTGAGGAGACCAACTGGGATTTTGGAGTGTACTTTAACGCCAGCTTATTCTTCCAGGAGTTTAACATTTTGTCCACGGCACCTCGTTGCTGGCAGAACCGGAACAGAGAGTGGGGTTTCTGTTTCAGCTGAGCTGTAGCCACTTTCCCTGATGCTGCAGGTTTTTCTTGTCTCTGTCTTGCTGCTCTCATTGAGATGGCATATGCAGACTTTTTCCAGTGACTCAGGAATAACACAACTATCCGCTCTTTCCTTAAGCTGGTGGTCTCCATCACAGCTCCACAGGTTTTAATGGCGCCATGACTAAGGAGTGTGTTCACGTCATCACTGCTTCCTGCTGATGGTCCAACCCAATTCTTGCCCTTCAGCCGCTGTGCTCCATGTACAACCCCAGCAAAGGGATAAATGCTTCCAATCTGACCCTCAAAGTTGGACCTGAGGTTTTTCACTGACACACCAGACTGCTGGATCTCCCTCTCCACCTTCTCTCTCTTTTCTCTATTGCAGCTGCTGCTCTCCAAGCGATGGCTGAAAGCAGACGCCATCCCAATATGGGGTATCCTACATCCACTGGATGTCTCCGCAGGTGCAGACTCCTTTTCTTGCATCAATCTCGAGTCCAAATCAATTTCAGAGGCAATTATATTTTCTTGCAAACTCTTCATGCCTTCGACCATTCCTCCCACCGACCCCCACTCGCTTTCTTTTCTCTGTGTTTTAGTCAGATTGGCCACCAGCAGAGACATGTTCTTGACAATCTCTGAGACACGATCGCACCAGACGGGTAGAGTCAAGGGTATTTTTCCCTCAGAGTCCATTCTTTGTAGAATCTCCTTGTTGAGGGAAATATTAACGATAGGATCAGGCAAGATTGCCTTTAACTCCTCGGTTAGCCTGGTCAACTCTAACTCATAAGCCTGGCAACGTTTCTGCAGAGAAACAGACTCAATTTGCTGCTGCAAGAAAACCAGATCTTCCTCTTTTAGGAGTTCACCAAAGGGCCCTAAGATGGCGTTGTGAGTCTGGGAGTATTTCCAGGAATCCAGTGGCATGTAGCCATTCAACATATTCTGTAAAAAACCAAAACAATAAAAAAATAATTCACAATTCTGATGCATGATTATTTGTTTTTAAATAAAAGTTTAGCATTTTGCACAAAAGTACAGATGATAATAATGAGGTTTAACATCTGATGACATACATTACTTTGACAAAAGTATTGGATCAAACATCCAAATCATTAAATTCAGGTGTTATGCACACTGTTTTGTTAAAGAATGTGAGATCTGTGAATTTCAGCATTGAAAGACTGTGATTGGAAGCCACCAGCACAATAAGTCCATATGTAAAATTTCCATCAAAGGGATTAGAAGCAACAGTGACTCATCCACAATGAAAAAGAAGGTTGATAAAGCATATTATGTGCAGAGTTCATAGAGTTTTGCTATTTTTTTCAAGCTCGATAGTTTCAGACCTCCAAAGTCCGTGTGGTTTTCCAAATAGTAATTTTTCTGTCGTTTCTCTCAACGTTATCAAAACTGGACAGAAAACCATTAATATGTTTCACTCAAAATCTATATAAACATCGCTCTCTCTGGGGCTGCTTGCATTAAAAAACATCTCATCTTTCGAGGATTGTCAAACTAAAAAGCATTTACATTATTATTTGGATATTCACATTATTGGTTGTTTTCTTTCTAAAACAATGTGTTCTGTTTTGTTTTTTTGTTGTTTTTTTTTCCACACAAAATAATGAAGGAGTACCTGTGCCTCCTCTACCTCTTCATCTTGCATCCTGACCTGGAGCTGCCGAACCATCACCTGCCGTTTCCATTCTGGTATGGGGCGTCCAGTTTCATCGTGGGTTGGCACCAGCGAGTCAATGTCAGCCAAGATCATGTTGACACTTGGTACCTCCTCCTGCACCTCCTCGCTGTCAAGCCACTATTGGTTTTCAATGACACAATACAGAGTGACGCCACTGATGTCCGGATATCTAGCCATGCATAAGATATTTCAATTTTTGACAAACTGCAGTTTATCCATTTGATTTCATTGCATTTGCAGGCGCCTTTTAATCGCTTAAATTGCCGAACACTGTTTTTATCTTTGTAATTAAGTAATTGCGATTCTTCTGGCAAGAGGATATATATATTTTTTTTATTCAGGATGATTTGAACTTTTTAGGAGGGTGTAATGTTCACTTGGAGGGCTGCGCCACATGACTCACAGTTTGCCCGGTGAAGACTGCAGTTAAGCCGGCATGCTTCAGCGATTTAATAGGCTTCATCCGAGACATCGGCGTGAGGTCTCTCTCTGGAGGCCTCAGGTGATTGAAGGATGTCACCACTGTAAGCAAATACAACAAAGGTGAAAGGTCAAATCATATGGTTTTACCAATGTGGCTTAGAGCAATGAGTGAAAGTCTGTTTTGAAATGTGTGAACAACATATTTAAAATTATATAATTTCACATTTCCTTTCATTGTTGTATCAAAGTCAGATTTCTGAGCTGAGCTGTGGATTTCTGTAGCTTCTCCAGAGTTACTGTAGACCCCTTCACTGTGTCTTTGATTAACGCTTACCTTTCCCAGCCTTGAGTGGGCAACCATTTATTGGTATGTTTGGACACATACTATACTCTTCCTATTTTTTAAGCAGTTCCATGTGAGATGTTGAAAAATTATATTAATTTACAATCCAACACAGATTTAAACGTCCCCACAGTTTCACCACTGATGTGGGTAGTGTGTCCCTTGCTTGTCGTGATGCTTTTGCGGCTTGACCGAAGCCTCAAAAACATCACGATGAAAAGCTATGAAATCACAAAGACAGACTTAATTAGGCGAGTTCTGAAAATAACCGGTTGCAATTGATTTTATTTATGTGTACCAGAGTTTATGAGTATGCCATACTTTCAGATTTTTATTTGTAGAGGAAAAAAAAAAAGAAAATTATGTCTCCCCCTCACTTAAAAAAATAACTTCTTTGTATTAAAATTCAAATAAAATCCAATGAAACTTGTAGTTGTAGTCTGGCAGTAGCATAGCGATATCTCTGGCCTCATTACCTGAGGAGGCCAGTTGAACCTGCTGCATGGACCCTGTAGGGTGTTTTTTCGAGGAGGCAGCAGGGGTCGGAGAGGTGGAGGTCACAGGAAGTGGGGTGGGGTGGCGAGGCAGGGGGAGAACCTCCTTCACTGGCTGCTGGGGAGACACACAGCAGGCATGAGCAATGCTCTAAAGGACAGCCAAACCAACATGCAGCTTTTGTTTCAATATGTTCTGGTTCCAAAATCTTCCTTTAATGCTACCTTACTTGAGTGTTAATCTTCAACGCAATGTAGCAATTAGCGGCTCCATCAAATGCAACTATTTATCCTGTTCTTAAAGCATTTCATTTTCCTTCCACTGAGGTGGTTTTTATTTCAGATCGATGGTCACCTTATTGTTCTCCATTCTTCTTCTTCTTCTCCTCCTCCTATCTCACACTCTGGCAGATCCAGGAAGCAGCAGCCCCTCTTTTGAAAAGACAAAAGAGACCAATATAACATGAGAATAAGGAAATGCTGCAGAAATGAGACACGGCTTCACAACAATCAGCCAGGAGATGAACGTTGTCTAATAGCAAACACACACTGAGTTAATGTAAACACATAGGCTGTAGTGCTCGAAACTGAGACAGGAAGTGGTGAAACTGGACCCTGGGCAGTGGATGTATAGTAGCCCCCAGCAGAGTGCAGGAGAAAGCCTGTTGGAGCAACTGAGACACTGCTTTGAATACTGAATTCAAACATATTATCTATTTCAAGCCATGTTTTGATTTATCCACATGTTGAACTGCATTATTCTGGCAGCTGTGTGTATTACAGTGTTAGTGCTTTATATAATTTTAATGAATTTCTCAGTGCAAGTTTCCTGTATTACAATGATTAATAAAGCAGAGTAATTTGATAATTTAGAAAAGCTACGTTACATAGTTGTCTTAAAGAAACCTCTTTAAATAGCAACTTAGGTAACTATTTTTTTTTTTTTTTAGAAAAGTCTCACCTTTAATTGATCCAAAATTCAAAAACGATAAGCAATATTACAAACATTCCTCTGATAATTGTAAGCAAAATTCTACTCACACTTACATTTTGCTCCTCTGCAGCGTAATGAGGATGCCAACAGCACTGACAAGAGAAACATTCAGCTGAAAACACAAGAGAAGAAAACACACACGTCTCGCTCTTTACCTTGTAGAAGCCCAGAACCAATAAAGCCAGTGAGCAGCATCACCTGGATCCAAACCTCAGACAGGGGGGCCCTCTGAGTGTGCATAATTAAAGCAGTGGGATAGGATGACTGGGACCTGGAGGTATAGAAACGATAGCTCTGTGAATGTATGTGGGGGACAAAATGCTGTAGAGTACTGAACACACACCATCAGGTGTAAGTGTGTGTGTGTGTAGAGGGTACATGATTAGTGCAGCATGCCCCTTAAAGGTGGTAGTATGTCTTTCCCCAACACTTGCAGTTGGTTTGTGTCGATTTGGCGACCCCTACTGGCACTAGTCTGAGAATCACAAAGCCATGGGCACCATTTTGTGGGTCACGATAACGATGAACTGAAGGACAGCGGCGCATCACCAGAAATTATGTATTGGATACAAATATTTGTTGTATTAATATTTCTATCTTGTACATTTTCTAAGTAAAAATAATTGTGGTACCCAAAACTACCACAGTTCTTCTGAGGCCTTTGGAGGGTATTTTGTAACCCTGCTGTCCGGTCCTTATACTTTCCAGTACATAGAATCATATAATTATCACTAAAATACTGTTGCAGGTGAGACAAACCGAATATATCTAATATTATTCAGATATTCAGCTAAAGAATTGGAAGCAGTTTGTGTCGTTGTGGCAGTCTGCTCATAATGGTGTATATAGTAAAATTGTTCTTTCCTAGATTTTCAATTATAAAAACAATACTTATCTTATGCCTGAATGATTCATGGGTCAAAATATCATCTTTAAAAATAAATAGATCTCAAAATGGTCAGATTTAAAAAAAAAAAAAAAGTCAGCTGCAAGAGTCAGCAGACGTGACTGTGTCAAATGTCCCATTGTGCAATTTATAAAGAGCCTCTAAGTGTAAGGTTCACTGCTAGATAATATTTCAAAGGGTTACAAGAAATACTTTGAACTTTGAAAGTAAATGTTCAAAAATTAACAGATGGATGAAGAAGTTTGCACAGAACTCATTAAGTAATGACTCAGTTACAGAGCTTAGTTACTCTTGTCCTCTTTTCTCTCTTTCACTGTCATCACAATTAAAAAAAATTTCTGTTGTTTCAAACTTTTTTTCTTTTATCAGATCTGATTTACCCACTGCCATAATTAAACTTACTCAAAAATGTGCCGTCACTGTAAAACAGTACAGTGTGTGTGTACATAGGATGTTGAGACAAACGCAGGAAGAGAAATGTGAGAGGCAACGGCCTCTGCCTCTGACTGGGGCCTCTTTGTATCAAGCCCGCGTTTTCTTACCTCTGTTAATGGGACTTTAGTGTTACTGTGTTGCAGCAGAGAGAACATGATGATAATGTAATCAATAATAGAAGTCCTGCAGAGAGAACGCCTCACAAAGGCTTAGCCCATGTGTCCACCCGGAAGAACAGCACAAACTGTTACGCAACACACACGAGAAGAGCCATTATCCATTAACAGGGTCAGTCTGTCCGCCCAAACACAATCATTTAGAGACGTTCGAGGTTTAAGACATTTTGTTTGACAACCTGAAAACAAAGATGATTTTATATGTTTGTGCTATAGGAAAGTTAATTTGTTTGGGACTAATTGAAATAAGTTAAATAGATTAATTACACATTAATTGATCTTTTCAAGCCTTTAAGTTCTGTTAATTATCATGATTTTCTAATGAAAACACAGTCATATTAAAAATATTAGTGTGGTATAACATAATCTGCTAAAAAGAATTTCAGGACTTCTAATACAAATCAGGGAATTTTATATTTAAAAATATGTAAGCCATTTTTTGACTGGGGACACATAAATGACATTTAAATCTTTTTTTTTTTGTTATTTCAATAATATTTCAATATTCGTTTTATTGGAGAATCTACTTTAAGTAAAAGGGACCCAATCCTAATCTGTGAGCAACTATAGAGGCGAAATATTTAAAAGTTTCCCAATCCTGTACCTTCAATAAGCTTGAGCAATACAAACTCACAAAATGTATAAAACACACAACAACACACAAATTGTGCATAAGTTTCAACACTCATTTATTTATTTGTTTGCCTTATTTCTTTGACAATTGCCGTTATGTGTTCACAGACATGAGAAAGAACTCCAGAACACTCAAAAGATAAACTGTGTTTAGGCTGAGACCTGCTTCTGTCAAGTGACGCCGAGCAAGAGTAAAAAAAAAATTCCTGAACCGTCCCCCCAACTTTTAACACGAAGACCTCATCCACACTGAGCAAACGGGTACAAAACAAACCCCTCCTCACTATTCCTCACTCTGCCGGGACACTTGACAAAGCAGGAGACAATTTGATGATACACAGAGGAAAAAAGGAGTTAATACCGTCTGTGCGATAAGACCCAACACGGAAATCTCAGTTTATATACAAGACAGAGCCGAGAGGAAGGTTTCCAGTTAATTGTTACGGGAATCATGAATGACGATACTTTACAAGCAGCACTTCGGGAGTGGAAAGCTGTTGTCATTAGCGAGCTGTAAGGCAGGAGAGAAGGACAAGATCCAGTGAAGAAAACAGGACCAGCATGCTTCGATCCTCAACTGTGACAGATAAAGCAAAGCCAGATAATAAACAATCAACTCATATGTCATTTAAACAATTACTGCTTCGATCTCAGAACTTTGTACGTGAAAGTCTTGCACTTTTTGGACTTGAAGCAACGCAAACCACCTGCTTGAAAAATAAATGGTTGTTTGAACTGCGATGGTACTTTGTCTGCGGGAAGCAAAAAGAGTTTTAATCTTTTTTTTTTCTTTTTTTTTTTAAGATTATGACCACAACAGAATTGAAAACAAATCATGGTTTTCAATTTAAAAAATAGGTTAATAACAATAAAACTAATAAATAAAGATGCATTGTGCACAAGTGCCAAACAGGTCTAACAAACATTCTGTTCATACAATTTTGTTAAAACTTCGCATCAGTTCCATCTATCACCAGATAACGAAGAAAAAACCCCAAACAAAATGATTATACCAAGATGTCCCAAATATTAAATGCCAGACAGTGTGTTTTATACATGCGATATTATAAAACATGACGAGGCAGACAACTGTCACAGCGTTAGGCTGCATTGCTCAACAGGTTGGTTGACCTGTGGCACACAGACTCACTTGTTTGCTGACTAGAAGTCAAGTTTACCCACAATCTGGTCCTGGCAGGACAAAAGGAAAGCAAATGGACGACTGGGAAAGATGGGAAAGATGCTTTATGTCGACCTATTATGCTTTCTGTCGCATCTAAATCTGTCCTTCACCGACACGTTCAAAGTAATATTTTGGGCCATCTTGGTAAAATACAGGAGCGTATCACCAACGGTAAAGAATCTCTGGACCTGAAATTCATTGCGACAGACAGCTAATCATACTGTCCCACATTCTGCCACAAGTCTCCGTCTACGATAGGTTAAAAGTGTTTAATCCATAATGTCGATCAAAAACTAACGAGTCTACTTATAAAGGCAAAACTTTTACAGTGCTTCAGGGTTCTTCGATAATATGTACCCCCCAAAAACATTGACGTAAATCATGAAAAAAACTTCTTTTTTTTTTATCACTTGTAATTAGCTTCAGCATCGCTATTTAAAGCTGAGAGGGAATAAGTAGAGAGAATGGGGTGAAGAAAAGGAGGCACTACACGGTGCAACATGCTCTCAACCAATCAAAGGTCCGAGTTTTTACACCAAATATGTCATTTTAGTCTGTGTTGCAGCTCTAATTGAGAAAATAAGTGCTTTGCTCTGTTTTTATTTATGGATACTTATTTGTAGGTGAAATAGAAACTGGAAATCATGAGGTCAGTGTTCCCTAAAGAGGGAACCTCTGTGACTTACCCAAGTAAAAGGGCAAACTGATGAGTTGTTTTTTTCTCTTATTATATATGAAGCTTTAATAAAAAGATATAACGAGCTTGAAAATAAATTTTAAAAAAACCATAAAATCTATGTCGCTTACTCATCTTCACAGGTGACAAAACCACATTTTATGAAGCTCAGGCTGTGATGATCTTCGTTCAGGGAAATGGCAACCCTGATTTGGTTGATTATTTTTCTTTGTAAGCCTCAGGGTGATATTTATGTTTTAATCAATTTTCTTCACAAAGTGAAATTTTCAACATAGAAAGTGCATTGTAAAGTAATATACCGGCTGACACATACGCGCAATAGAATATGACACAGAACGGTGCTTTGGTTAAAATAAAACAGTAAAAAAAAAAATGCATTAATTCAATAAAGACTATAAAGTGCCATGCAACAAAACAGCGGTCTTGTCACAAAATAAATAACAGTGCAGAAAATATACAATAGCTTGAAATAAACAAAGACATACCAAAATGCCAGGCAAGGACAAAAGTTATCTCTCCTTATAGTGAATTATTTTCGCCTTAGTTGAGCCAATGAATCCAGTTTTCACAAAATTATTCAATGAGACCAACACAGGAAGAACGTCCCCTCGCCCTTTCAGGTACCTTCTCATGCTACTTTTGAGCTAAAATAACGAGGAACAGTAGTTTGTTTTTCCTCTTTGCCATCTGATGTTTCTGCAGTGAAGAATTTCATGCTGCATCAAGCAGATCCAAACTGAGGTATTTTACAGTATATGTATGACGTATATGAAGCTATCATCCCCACACTGTACACAGGTCTACACAGAGAAGAATTCAGGTTGATGCTTTCCTTTTGCCTTTCTGATGCAGTAAGTGGTAAATGTCTGGTTTACTACAAGTACCTATTTTTAGTAATGATAAAAGAGGAACTGGTCACATATCTTTTTACAGGAAACGGGGTAGTCTTACGGATAACCTATTCCTACGAGTACACTGAAACTACTCAGAACAAGCCCCAAACGTCCATCAGAAAAACAAAGTTAATAATCAGGTTCGCGTTGTTAGTTTTCCTTGTAAACTCTTCTAAAGGTCAAAAGGGAGCATATCATGCAAGGCTGGAGGAGGCGACTGCAAAAACAGACCAAGGTCGGGTTCTCGACAGAGTAATCGAGTTATTCTTGAGACAGGGCTGGTCATCGTATCTATGGAGACATTTGCTATCAGGTTTGTGTTTATTAGAGGAGAACGCTGACGCGAGCTTTTGAGATTGTTTGTTCTTTTGCTGTTTGTTGTTCCTCGAGGCTGGTTCACCTGTTAGATCCGCTGAGCAGCCGGGAGCGACTGGACTGACTTTCTCCTGGAGAGCTTGGACCTAAAGGAAGAAAGAAAGCAGAGTGGCACCTTATGTGTATCATGTTGGCAAATTACATAAAGGAATATTTTTACTGGTTAATGTCCAATGAGTTCAAGGAAATGTTTATATGTTTTAATAAAAATTACAAAAATTTTAGTACTGACTAAAATGGACTTACAATAACTTTCCATTAATTAAGGTAAATAAGGCAAAATAAGCTACATACATTTTTTTTTTCCATAAATCCTTTGTGTATAGCTTTGAGTTTAGGAGCTAGAAAGAAAACCCAAACAGATTCTCTTTCTAGCTCACTTTCATGGATAACAAGAGGACCAAGAGGGACATGCAGACATGCCACAGGCTGGAGACTCATAAAGCCCATCGGTTTTTTTGGGGGTTTTTTTCCTAATAGATCCAGGTTGCGCTAACATCAGCACTGTCTGGTGGATGTTGTTCCATAAACAGAAAGCTACTCATTTCGCTAATTTATGGTATGAATCTGTTGCTTAAAATAAATTTGACAGAAACAACGAGAAGCAGAAAGTTATTTAAAAGGAAACTGGATGCCAGGCTGTGAAAAAGTGAGAGAAAGCTAGACATTCAGCAGATAACAAGAGTGTTAAGTACAGCAAAGTTACTCCGATTGCACAGTCATTCTCAAAACTATGCTGGTTTTGAAAATGCTGGCAGCCATTTAGAAATCTCAGATTAAGATGAAGGTAAGAGCTACATTCTTTCAAGAATATACAAACATAAACATCTGTTTTTAAAATGATAACTATTTTAACTGTACTGAGCTCACTAATCACCACCAGAAGATGCTAAAAGATAGTTTAGCATGGTAATATATTTATAGTTTTAATATAATAGTAAAAGTCTATTGTACAGTAATTAATTAATTAAATAATAATCACCAGTCAAGATAAGGAGGCTTGAAGAGACTATTTCCCATTTTGTATTTATATTCAAGGTCTTGGAAAACATTTTTAAACAAGGCAAAATAAGTATAATCAGATCAAATCAAACCAAAATGATCTTATTGGTGCAATTCTAGAATTTTTAGAGTGATATACAGGAATCCTTTCAAAGAAACTGATAAAACTTGCCAGATGGCTTAAGATATAACTTAACTCTAGCACCACCACCTACCTGATGGTACCAGCTAGCAGAGGGTTAAAGGCGTACAGCCAGTCATGCATCTCTTTGTCGTTGGCGGCCTGCAGCAGTATCCCACGATGCTCAGTGCACACCGCAAACGTGTTAGGGGTCTGCAGACGTAACATACGTGGTCAGTGGTTACTTAAGTTCATCTTCTGTAACAGCTAATCTCTGTTGCCGAAGAAACGTTGACGCATACCCGGAGTAATGTCTGTTTATCTTCACTGTATTCCACTTTAGCTGAGGACAGGTTGATGACAGCCCTCTCCACGTTGTCCCTCTCGCTGCGGTACAGGTAGACGTAGGGTCTGCGCACGACCACATAGCGCCTCACCCAGCCGCTGCTGTGGGGCTCCAAGAAATGCAGGTAGCCCTTCTTTGACACGATGGGGCTGGATGGACAAAGAAGAAAATCAGCATGTTTTCATAAAATGTGCTCACTGTTTTAATAAACGCAATTTGAATATTTTCCACAGTGACACAGAATTGAAACCTGATTGTTTTGCCCACCTGACGCGAATCTCTTGTATGTCAGGAACAAAGGTGTATCCTCTCAGAGCTTTCTTTCTGTCCACTGGGCTGAACGGGTCCAGGTCCGGTGTCGATGCTCCTGAGCTCGGTTCGGTGAGCCTGCACGAACAGCAGGTTGAAAACCTAGCCTAGCACCTCTAGATCGTTTTAAGATCAGTCGTAGCATATTTTAGTCTAGAATAACTGAATTCTTTCAAACATCCAAAATAAATCATATGAAAAACCACATTTACAAAAATAGATCATTTTATTAAATAAACCAACACTGAAACTAAACTTCTTCATTCCAAAGGGTTGAAAAACTGGATTTTACTTACCGGATGTCAAAATGGCCATCGACCAATGAGGGGCAAGTAGAGGAGGGAGTCAGTGTGCTCAGGCCAGAGGAGGACGAGTCCCTCATGAGTGACGCAGACATTTCTGAAAGCTGAAAATCGGCCACACACACACACATACACACACACACGCACACACACGAGGGAAAACAAGGAATCGCAACAAAAGGAGGGACAAATGCAGATAGAGACAAAACATATCAGCAAACATTTAAACAAGGACAACAGAGACATGCATTCAGAGAACATCTAGATCAGTATTTTTTTGTCGCTCTTTATAATGTACATAAGAACCACCACTGGAATGTGAATCTGTATATCTAAGAGCCCCGTCTTGTAAGAATGCAGCTTTGTCACATTAGTGTGTTAGTGGAGACCTCAGAGTGTGTAAAGAGGGAGTTTATTTATGGATGAAGTTAGGGGAACAGACAAGGGGATGAATTAGAAAAAAAGTCATGAAGACATGGTTTTATGAAACCATATTTAATCTTCAAATCTGACTCGTTTGCTGTGAGGAGATTTCTGATCTGCACATTCAAGCACCTTTAACATCCCAAGACCCTAATGGCACTGTTCCAATGGACTGCCTCGTTTATTCAAGTAAGCTGCAGATGTGGTTTGGCTAATGACAAAGTTAATCACAACCACATGCAAAGCGCCTTGGTGTAAAAGTTCAGGATAAAGGTTTCGCTTGAACTGCTGCTGGAAATGCGTTGCCTTTATTTATTCGTTTGTTTTGTTTGTTTTCTGATGGTGATGAGCGCAAAGCACATGGGTGTGGTAAGAATCCTGACCAAAAATAATAACTATAATTCACAATTAAACAAACCACACTGGCTTGATAAAACTGGTCACAGCAGAAGTCCAGTAATTTAACCGGGACGTCTCACATTAGTAACTTATGTTGTAAAACATGAGTTACTCAGTCTGGCTCCTTTCTCTGCTAGACGCAAATAAAATGTTATAAAATGTTCCTTTAGGAGAGGTAAGTATATTAACTGTAGCTAAGTCAAGTGTTAAAATAAAATAAAAAATCGCTAAATATCTCTCTAAAAGCAAGTGTGAACGATGGATGCAAACACATTAGCTGATAGTGATTAGACACCAACAGTTTTTAAAGTTTAAATATTTAGTAAAGATCAAACTAATGGGTCAGGTTAGAGGGCCTAGGCTGGGGCTCACCTTGCTTTCACTGGCACTGCTGCTCACCTGGCTGTACTCTCTGTTGAACGTGTGCATCAGCAGGCGCAGACACTGCGCAAAAGACAGTAAAAAACGGCATTCGATAAGCAACGGGATGCACAAAGACCGGAGCAAAACAGGGGGCAAACATTAAGCTTTAGCAGTCACCTTAGCAGCTAGCTCCCTCTGCCTCTGGTTGGGGCTGTCAGGAGCGGGGCTGCTGCTCGGACTGCTGCTGAGGACGGGGCTCTTTGCAAAGTCACAAATGTCGCCGCTCTTGTAAAGCGCGTCCTGCCCTGCCTGCAGAGTTGCCTCGAGCTTTTCCCTCAGCAGGAGGTAATGCCTGGTTTTCTCCACCTAAAACCAAAACAAACAAACAAAGAAAAAACAGCTAATTGCAGGTGAATTTATACAGTATTTAAAAAAAGTTTACTTGTAATCAACTGCTATTAACATATTAAAAAAAAGCATTCTTTCAATATCTAAACCTAGCTGCTGGATTCATGTTCAGTTTGCGTTTTTTCTTTTTTTTTTAACTAGTTCTTTATGAATATATTTAGTTGCACAATATATCAGGAAAGATAAATACGGAAAGTGTACCTTTAATGAAATGTCACAATCATGTTAAAATCCTGTAATTATTAAATATGAAATATAATAAGATGAGTGGGGTGTTCGACTGAGGATATTGCCACCAAAAATATTAGTTACTAAATTTGCATATGTAGCAAAATACTCCCTCTTTCAAATAAAATGTGCCCAATTTGTATAATTTTCTACTTCTAATTCAGCTTTTCAGTACAAGCTATGTACCACAGACTGATGTTAAACAGTCATAGAGTGTTGGAAAATACTAAATGTAATGGGATTAAAGAAATGTTAGACATTTCCCATTTTTCTTTTTTTTAATTTTCTTATTGTGTGTTAAAACGGACCTCCTGCAGTAAGCTGAGCTTCTCCAGCTCCCACTGGTGGTCAAGGATGAGGCTGTCGCTGCGGGGTCTCCAACCCGCCAGGTTCTCCTCTCCTCGCACGTAGGCCACAGAGGTGTCAAGGACACGCCTGCGACGACGCTGCATTCCTGACAAAGGGAATTGACAGAGAAGAGGATTTCAGTACTAAAAATGTTTTAAAAAAGTATATAAATCATATGAAAAATATATATTTTTTCTTTTGCACGGATAACTTTCTTAATTTAATCTTTCATCACCTGGACTTCCGTTGTCTGCAACGTGGCAGAGAGTGACCTCATAAACTCCAGTGACACGATTACTGAGAAGGGGGGGGAAAAAAAAAAAAAAGTCAGCATTTAAGACGTGATTCCCAGACGCCGTTTATGAGACCATCAGGTAACCTGGACCGGTTATCCGTGGATACGTACCTCTCTGAGGGCCTGAGGCAGCCGGTGCTGAAGAAGTTCCTGATGGATCGGGAGGCTGGAAGCTTTGTGTCACGGGAGTAAAACACCACGCAGAAATCTTTGGTGATAACTGTCGGCTGAGTGCAGTTCTCCATCTGGAGGGGTAGGATAATTAATGAAAAAAATTAATGGGAACAAAAAAAGTAGTCAGTAATAAAGAAATGCTGCTAGCAAGTGCTGCTAGTGAAGTTATTAGTGATAGCACTAATACCTGCAGTAAGAAAAATGGGTAACACTTTATTTGAA